ATCACTATATGTTATCTCGCATAAATATTAATGTATGTAAACATTTGCAATATATATCTTTGCATAAAGATAGATCATACGCACGATTTTACTCTTGTACAAAAACAGCTCAGTGTGATTAAGGGGTTCAGGTATTCCAAAATTTTAGGCTTTTCTTATCCTATTGAATACTTCCCCTTTTTTGATAATAGAAAAAAAATTACTTCACTTCTACATTTTTTTCTTATTACCCTTACGCGTTTACTGATCTCTCACTCTGTCAATTAAACATAACATAAACAAATATTTCGACATCAAGAACAATTTATCCTTCAAAAAATTAAATAATAGCGCGATAGCTTTATGTATAAAATGGAAATGTTTAATTAAGTACATAATTTAAATACAATCAGTAAAAGCGTTTTTTGCATATAATAATATAATAAATGAACTTTATATTATATAACATGTATATTCAAATAATAAACCATATTATAATAATAAATCATATTAATGATGTGGCGATATAACATGATACATATTCAGAATAATTTTAAATAACTTCGGAACTATTTTTTATATGCTTAACAATTTATATACAATGCATATACAGAGCTTCCCTGGTTCTATCTTATTATAAATTAGTGGAAAAATAATGCTGCTTTGGCCATGATTTGCGCATCAGTAATTATTACCTATATCTCTTCGTTGCTAATACCTACACTTTTGAATGTGTGTTTCATGGTAGTCTTCAAAATAGTCAAAAAATTCTAATTATACACAGAGTTTATCATCGCAAAGTGTATACCTATAGAAAAATCTCATCTCTTTGTTTCTTTCTCGCACATCGTTACCATAATATAATCCTTTATTAGTCTGCCATTCATTAATAGTAATAGATAACATTAATACTTTGATTATCACTGTATGAAGATGAATCGTATAAAGCAAGTAGCCATTATTTATTCAATAAATAGAATAAATACTTTCAAATTTACTTTTTATTACTGTCTCGGTTCTTGCTAAATTTGTGGCCTGATTTTGCATCGGCATACAAAATTTACTTAATATGATAAAACAATATGTATCTTCGGTTTTAGTATTGAAATAAAACACTTTGGCGATTGCATTTGCGATTTCTTCATATTACATCGAATAAAATAAAAGAAATTTCACAGGGAGAGATACGTTATAAAGCGTATAAAAAATATGTAGATACGTTCATCGAATTATGAATATAATGTTTGAATGGAATGGCTCGGTAATTCATCTTTATGCATGTACATGAATTATAAGTGTAGTATAAATTAAGAACAGAGTAATATATGCGTATGGAATGTGTAACATAAGTGATTTTTTTTTCTTTGAAAATGGCTATGTATATCACTTCGTTTAAATAATAATCATCGTTTTGCTTCAAATCAGGCTAATGCAATTATCAAACTCACATCAGTTCTGGAATATGAACTTGTTATTCATGCTAAAAAATATTATCGCGAATGACATTTAATCGTAAATTCTTCCGCGTTTATCTGGCCAATTAATAATAAAATAGTTGTAAATAATATTCTGTGTATACTGTGTGATAAGTAAGATAATTACAAGGCCATATAGCAGTAGCCGCAGAGCATTCAAACAATGTTAGTATTTCTATGCTACTTTTTAATATATGATGTAAGATAGAAATTCTATAGTCTAGAATTATTATTCCAGTTATCTCGAAGTACTAGGATAAATTAATCTTAAGAAAGTGCTGTACAATGTAAATAACTGTCTCTCGACATTAATAAGTCTATGAGAAGTATACCTAGTAAGTATACCTATAATTTAATAAATTTATCATATACTTTTTTTTCCAATAAATTAATATTCACGTTGCAACAAATAAACAACGATCTGTACAGTCGATATAAAAATTAGGACGGAAAACAGAAAAACGCTAATCAGATAGTCAATCTCCACTGTGAATAACGTGTATCGATCGGCAAAAGCATCAAGTTGTCAGGCATTGTTGCTTATCCTGTAATTCACGCTACGCGCGAAATACTAACAGTGGAATACACTATCGTATAATTATTCGTTACTCTAATTTTTACCCGAACAATTCCTTTAAAGTACAACGCTCGGTGAGCAGAGCAATCAATTGTGCAGAGCATTTTCCTAAATAAAGAAGAAATCTTTCATTTGTATCTCGGACTGTCTGGCGGCGTCGGTTGTGTGTTAGCCTTCTGCTTTGGTCCAGTTTTAAAGGACATCTTTTTTACAGGTCTCGGTGAAATCCCATGAAGCGCAGTACTCTCGGGGGTATCACTGCTAAACCATACTCTGCTTCCGTCAGAAACTGAAAACAAATAGCAGAAACTTTATTAATAATCTTGTGGATCAAAAGCGTTAATCAAAAAGCCACATATAAAATATTAGCCAAAAAATAGACGCTCGTGTGAGAAAGGCAGAGATATTAGAAAAAGTAAAAGCGTGCAGTCTGAATGAGAAGAGAGCATATCGGCGAAAACATATCAATATTTTATATATATCATAATTTCCTGCAAAGCAATATTTAAAAGACATAAGAACCGCACATAAACGTAAAAGAAAATAATTTAAACATGCTATCTTTTTAGTGTTGCTCATAGATTGGAGAGATTACCTCTGAATATATTTTGCAAGACTGCCAAACAAAAAGTTAATTAAGAGATATAGAAATGTTAAAGAAAAAAATTGTTCGATAGTTTTATTTTTTTTTTGGTCATAATATTCGATATTAGATATATATCTTAAATATATATCTAGTCATAATATTAGATATTAAATTTTGTGATTTTATATATTGTTATCGGACACACAATGGATATATAATCATGTTTTAAAACATGAGAATCAGAAGGTAAAAAATATTTACTTTCAAACTTTACGTCAATCGTAACGTGTTGCAGATATTCCAATATATTACTATCTATGGAACTGTGATTGAATGATTATAACGTATACTTAACAGATACAGATATAGACATAGTATCAGATAAAACAGCTGGAAGAACAGCACGGAAATAATAAATAACTAATAATACTACCTTGTCCGTTGGTGTTACAAGGTGGGTGGGGGTTAGTGGACTGAATTAGTCACCTCTATTCGCACGGTTGTCACTGCTTGCTGTCGAACTGCTACGTAAACCGGAACGTCCCTGATGCGAATCTATAAGCGCTGCCGCGAGGTTTGACGATGCTGTGGATTGCACGCTTGTTGTAGATCCTGATAGTGCGATATTTAGCAAAAAATAGGAATTGCTATAAACAGTATTGCAGTGACGTACAAAACTCTAAAGAGATTTGTTTTTGCATGCCACGTATATATCAATGGAAAAATAATAAATAAAATTAAATTATTGTTGCAATTAAATTATTGTTGCAAAAAAATATATTTATGACGACATTTTTGTTTAATTGAAAGTCACATACCAGAGACAGATGAAGCTGCGCTAAACGGGCTTGGCGGTTGCACTGGAGAATAAACATTGGCTGTAAATTCCTCGAATGTTGTAGCTTCCTTGTGATTTCTCATAACAGTGTCAATGGATCGCGCTCTTTCCTCGTAACTGAAATTTTTATTTAAATGTTTAACTCGACGATAATTCTCGTAATACTACAATTTATAAACGAACTACTCACTAATGTTGGTACAACGTAAGTGTAGATCTCTTTGCTCTACTCGCAGCTAATGCAGTCGTTCTCACTAGACCCGGCAATACCTTATCCTCCACGATACACTCGTCAAATAAAGGACCAAAAAATGGAATTTCCGATTTACGCGAGATCTGTATTCGATACAATTTGTTTTTCAGCGGATAAATGACAATGAGAACGTCGCAGAATTCTGTGGGTATAATGTCTCTGCGATAATCTCGCCAATGCTCCGACCAAACTATGTGAATTTCATCATTGCCAAGATGTCTCGTCTGAAATCGGATATCACATAAATATCTCGAAAAGTAAACGCAAACATCTGTCGCAGAAAATTGTGCCGGGAGATACCTTTTGTAGTAAACTTTCAGGACTATCCGACGGCATCCTTGTAGCAACGTGGAAGAGAACTTCGGTGAAAGACGTGGCATAGTACGGAGCGGTGACACCGGACGCCTTTCCAGGCACCAAACCACCAAGGAAACCAGTGTGCGATTCCAACTCGACTTCCCAAGCTAATCTCGCGATGAAACTCTCATACTCCTTACTGGCAGTGACGTTGCTTAGTATGGAGTTTTTGTCTTCCTGTCCTTGGCTAACATAAATCACCGCTATTTTGTGCGTCTCTCGAGATCGTTGGCCATCAAGATTACGGAGTTCGCGTAAGAGCTTTTCGTTTTTCGCCAGCAAATGTAATTTCTTACGCAGTTCCCAGCCAGACAAACCGAGATGTGAAAACAGAAGTCGGCAGTGATGAAATGGCGCCGGAGGCGGACGACACGATGGTGGACTGACTGCCGTTGCACTCATACTATAATAATACACACATACTATAATTTATCAAGATTTATCAAGATTAAATACAATTTTAAGCAGTGTTTTATTCGGTTGTAATTTGGTATATTCAGATAGAGTGAGGCATGCAACCTGATGTGTTGATTCCAATTGTTCATATGTTCTTGCTCTGCGTTTCTCTGATTCAAAATTGTTGCAATAGTCTCACTTTCGAGATAATGTCCCTGAGGTGGATTAGCGGGTGCATTGAGAGCGATTTCTGGATTAGTCAAAACTTCCGGACTGGTATGTCCTATGTACTGAAGAAGCTAAAAGTATGCAATTCTTTAGCAATTAATTCTTATTGAATTATTGAAAGTTAAGTACAACTTTAACTTTGCTGTAATCTTTAATTGCAACTTTGCTCACATCGTCCAAATTGTCCATGTCGCTTGCGGCGTTCGCGAAAGTCGGTAATATGTGGGGTTCGCGATGTCGTATTGTGTGCCTGGGTGTACAATTGTGAGGTGTAATGACGCTACTTAAATCGTCCGTGTGTAGTTTTGTGTTCCAGTCAACTAAAATTAATAATAAAAATTTATTATATCACAATTATCTTTTTATTAAAAATAAGTATATTGCACGAAAAAAAAAAATGATGTAAATTACCAGGCTTTGCGAAAGGCAATGGCAAATCGTCATCAATGAAAGGTTGACTGTATAAAATTGAACTGTCCCAAGAGGCTTTTCCAGCGAGATCGCGCAACAAAACTCTGACCAGAGAAGGAGCTGTAGTCAAACCAGCTGTGACTCCTCCACCGGGTGCGTCCAATGCCGCTAACTCCACCAATGACATTATGATCGAATTGGAGAGCATCAAGAGTTGTATGTTAGGTGCTTGAAAAACGGCGGAAGATAATTCGTCTCCATCGATTCCAGGAACGTCGTCGAGCTCAACGACCAGCGATGAGAGACGTGCGGCTCCGATACCCATTGGAAAATGTCCCAAATGATTAATTAAATGCATCAATACCTGTGTACAAAGATTCGTATAAATTATAAATAGCCCATATATGTATAATAAATCAGTTTACCATTTTTGCTGCCAATTGTACAGATTGAATATTTCCTTTATGAGGTGATTTTGTAGAGGACTCGTCAGTTAAATTATCTAACGTAATATTAGGATCAAAATCGTCATCGTCCTCTTGATTGTTTCTAGCGGTTTTCGAAAATTCCTTTCCAACTTTATTTTGCACTATGTTATTTAACACCTACATAATAAAAGTAAACGCTATAAAAAGCCAAATTACGACAAATCATGACATATATGAAATGTAAGAGAATGTAGATACTAACTGTAAATAAGGTCATCAAGAGAGGTTTCCCTTGGAACACTTGCAATAATACTGTTGGTCCTAAGTGCATGGCCCATTCGCCCAAACAAAATAGCATTGATACTGTTAAAGATCCGCGCCTTTCACGCGTTGTCATTCGCCCAAGTGTATCCGATAAGATCTAAATAGATCGAAAAAATGCAAATTATTATTAATACTCTTCTTTTATATATTTTTTTAAATAAAATCTTATATTGTACCTGTATTATTTTAGATGGCACGTTAGGATACAACTCTAGCAACACGTCAGCCTTATCGCAGAGAAGTAACAGAGAATCACAGGCAACCTGCGCAACTGTGGCGTGAGAAGCCTGAAAAAAATATAATCATTAAACATTAATTTTCGATAAAAATACTTTGTATATGTGTGTGTGTGTGTGTGTGTGTGTGTGTGTGAGCGCGCGCGTGTGGTGTGTGTGTGT